CGATAAAGACCGATCGGTCATGGGATTGCTCGCGCCGTATATTGTGCTGCTGTTTTCCTGCGTTAATACTAGGATGTGCGGGTGTGATTATCCAAAGATTAACAATTAATTGGATACCGGCCTCCCGTGTTATTGGGAGCAAGCTGGTTTTGGCGTGGAACACGCTCTCCTTGCAGGCCCAAGAAGTGTTTTCAGCTGACGCAGCGAAAATCTGCGTCATCGCGCGCAGCAAGATCTTCGTTCGCGCGTTTCAAGATCTCCGTTCTATATTCGCGCTTTTCAAGATCTCTTTATTCGCGCTGATCAACGCTCCGTTCCGTCACGCGCCGCCCTCTTTCTCATTCGTTTACGCGCTTTGTTACGCTCGTGCGAGTCGAAATCCGCTGGTGCTCGAAACTATATTCCGTTAACGGGCCTTTGGTCCGTCGGATTGATCATCTTTCTGTCGGCGTTTATTTTGTATTCTGTGTATGTGACGTAAATATGGATATTGAGATTAACGATAATTCACTCGTGAGTGAATTGAGAGTGTCCCGTTTAACCGTCGAACCTTCTGAACCCCAGACTATCCTCATACATTCCGCAATTAAATATTTTATTAAATATTTAATAAAATATTTAATAAAATATTGAATAATAAATGTTAAATATTAAATATTGTATTTATTGTTCTATATTTGACTAAATAATTAAATATTTGTTTTTCAGGAAGCCTTGTTCCCGCTTTACGCTCTTCCGACTTCTCCTGACGACGAGTGGCAAGAAATCAGTGTTGCCCCGGAACCTACAAAACCTTTTGCTCATACAATTCTCGTAAAATGTCTGCAATTAAAGTTAGAAGTGGTGCTAATATTTGCGAGTCTTACATTATCTACTATTCAATCTGAAATGCTTTTGGATCTAATGTATAGGTAAGATTTCTGAATCTTAGCAAACAATTTAACTTAAACACTTCGAGTGCCAAGCACATTTCGAGCGTGATCTTTGCGGGGCCCAAGAGTGAATTTTTGATAGTTTTGTTTTAAATATATATTCAATGTACTGCAAAAATAAGGTTTTATTCAATATATTTATAAGTAACGAAATTGTTTCTACTTGAGTGAATAAAATCGTCACCCATAGATGGGTGATAGGGCCCCTGCGAGAACTTATGCGTCACTCAGATCTGAGTGACGTGGTACTCAAAGTAAACATAACGAGCTAAGGGATGTATCTAAATTTTGTTTAGAATCGCCAAGGGTTATCAAGGATCGCCTGATCTTCGGCTGACTTGGCTCGCAAACATGGCGCAGCAGCACATGGAAAGGAAAAATCACACGGAAGCAGCAATGTGTTTGGTGCACAGTGCCGCTCTGGTAGTGGAATATCTTCATCTACTCGAACCTGGTGACGGCGTTCGGCCCGTAGAAGCCGTTGCTGTGAACGCCGTAACACCGAACGCTTTAGAGGAGAGCGCCGTCGGCGATGACGTACTAATCAGAAGGGAAGAAAAGCTTTGCTTAAACCCTGATTTTTCAGAAAGTGGATTGACGGGTTTTTTGGAGCACGCGCCTAGCTTTTTTCACGCAACTGGAATGTACGAAGCTATTCCTGACGTCTATAGGGTGTTGCTACCTATAGCAGAAGCTGCACATGACTACAATAAATTAGCTAACATTTACGGGTAAGAAAATTTAAATTGTTTAGTATGATATGGAGGGCACATCTTTTTCAAATTTACTGCATAAGATATTATTTTGGAACTTTTTTTTAGTAAACTTCACGAGGCATATACGCGTGTGGAACAATTGGCCGGCAAGCGTGTCTTTGGGACGTACTTCAGAGTTGGTTTCTATGGCGCCAGATTCGGCGATCTCGGCGGCGAAGAGTTTGTTTACAAAGAGCCAACTTTAACAAAACTTTTGGAAATATTCTCGAGACTCGAGAACTTTTATGCCGAGAAATTCGGCGCGGAGTGGTACTCAATATAGTTATAATAAAGGATTCGAATCCTGTGGATCCTAGCAAGCTGGAACCGGACAAAGCTTATGTACAGATCACTTACGTGGAGCCGTATTTCGAAGCACACGAGCTTAGACACAGACCTACAGTTTTTCATCGGAATTTCAACATGAGTGAGTATTGATTTAGACAAAATATTTTTTTGTGATAACAGTAATTAATTATACAGTAATTAACAATTTGTTTCGATAATGGCTTTTGTTTTTAGAACGATTTGTTTATGCGACATCTTTTACTCCTGGTGGCAAAGCTTACGGTGAATTATGTGAACAGTGTAAACGGAAGACTATATTAACGGTGACGACACATTTCCCATATCTGAAAACCAGAAATCGAGTTGTGGCTCGAAAACAGATAGTCCTGAGTCCCATCGAAGTGGCAATTGAAGACATACAGAAGAAGACTCTCGAGGTATTGATCGATTTCTCACATCTTAATATTTTTACAGTACACATGTAATACATTTTTATGTAATCTTAATTAGGTGGCTGCTGCAACCGCTCAAGAACCACCTGACGCAAAGATGCTGCAAATGGTCCTTCAAGGTTGCATTGGCACGACGGTTAATCAAGGACCCGCTGAAGTAGCGGTCGTGTTTCTTTCCGGTTTGCGCGAACAAAATGCGCAGCCGACCAGATTGCAGCACAAGCTTTGTTTGTGTTTGAAAGATTTCCAAAAAAAGTGTCTCGACGCTTTGCGGCACAATAAGAATCTGATTGGTCTCGATCAGCGGGATTATGGAGCTGGAGAGATATTATCAGAGATTGACCGAGAGATTGGCACCTCTCATTGCTTGGAGGTAAGAAGTTTTAATTAAAAAGATACATATCTTTTCAAGTTTATCACGTTAAAGAAATTTTTGTTATGCTGCTACGTAGTGGACCGTCCTTAATTAATCAGCAAGACTGTACTCCTCCGCGCTGGTAGGGAAATGAAACACTGCCATAAAAGCTTACTAAAGACTAATGTATCCAATTATTAATCGCGTGTATTGTCATATGGCTAATTCTATTTTTAATCACTATTGTGAAGAATATACGTACGTTGAATCCTTGTTTTATAACAGGATTGAAAAAAATTTCAAGTTATTTATAAAATAAATATATATTTAGTCAAAAGAATTATATGAGTTATATTGTTTATAATTTATATGAGTTTTATATACATGTTATGAGTTATTAGATAAATCGACCTTTATGGAAAAAGGAATAAAATAAGGATAACATTATAAAAAATTGTCGGATTTACAAGTTTGTTAACACTAAACGATCAAACGTTTTTAGAACAAGGATTCAACGTAATTTATTTATATAATTGAAATTTTTATACTTATAAGCACTTAAGTATTACGATACGTTGTGACCATCACATTAAACGGATTTACATAGATATGGCGCCGGGCATTTATATTTAGAATTTGTATTTTATTTTCTCAGTTATTTTTGCTAAAATGTTTATATTACACTGCCTAATGGTAAATTGAATAGGCCTGTTATCATTTTTTGTTCATCTAAGAAACAATTTTCAAATAATACATGTCTCCAATACAATTTCAATAGAACTTAACCTTTTTTTATCTTACACGTTAAATTATATTTTTAGTTGAAAATTACAATTACAGTAAATATTCTTAATAGAATTTTGCATTTGAACTAGAGTTTACAATATTGCCAAAATATTTTAACAATTGAAGGAAAAAATTTAAAAGAACATTTGAAATTGCGCGCTTCCACTTTTGAAAATAGTACCATTTTTATTGTCAAAGCTATTCAGAAAACAAAAGACAACCGACTACTAGCTCTACGTGATGATTGTTAAACATTGTAATGGAGATTACCATAACCTCTAGAAATTAACCATAAAAAAGGTTTTATTATTTATAATAAAAGGTTAAAAAAGGTTACGTGTTTTTATTATTTAGTTGTTTATTTAGTAACACATATAAGAAGGGAAGGCTTAATTATAGATCTATACAAATTTCGCCTTCCTCCTGCCTTGATTTATTTCTTTCATACATAAATTATTATATAATTCTCTTTTATGTAATGTGAAGTGTCTATAACTTAATCCTTGACCGTAAGATATTTAATAATTTTTTTTCTAGAACTTCAATTCAAACATGGGTCGAAAACCAAAGGTGTCTCAAAAAGAGGTTATTGAGTTGATCGAAAAACATATCCATCGTCTTGCAACAAACGATTTTCCACCATATGGAGACACATTATGGAAAACAATGAGCCAAGACTTAGATGGAAGGTGGCTACCTCGTTCTGTTTATACACACGTAAGGTATGACAAACGAGGGGATTTGGCACAAGCTCGACGTAATCAAGGAATTTGTACATCTCCGGAAACAAAACCTTATTTGATTGAAGATGAAATAGAATCTGATCATGAAGAATTGTGTACTTCAGAACCAGACGATGATTATGTTCCAGAGGACATACGAAATGAAAATCTACAGGAATGTGACTCTTTCGATCTCTGCTTACTTACGAGTGAAGAATGGTCATTAATTAAGCCAGATGAGTCTAAAAGCAAAAACAGATTAAAGACGGAAACATGGGCATCAGTTATTACTAGAGCATTCTGGAAAAGGTACAATTTTAGTTGTGCATTCTGTGCAAAGTGGTCCTACGTACGCTCTCTCTTTAACCCTCAAGATGATGAATATTATTTGAAGTTTTTTGCCTATTGCAAGGATAGAATAAAGTGCAAAAATATAATGATTGGTACAGCAAATAGTGAACCTACCAGCAACGGATTGAGATTGACAATTAAAACGCGTGACACTCGTGGAGACTACCATGTAGATGTGAAGAGACCACTCAGGGGAGCTGAACGGAAGCAAGTGGGAGAAAAATTGCAAAAGCAGAGTGCTGCCAATTATCAAAATGAATTATTAAGGGATAATATGCAATTTGGAGACGATGTTCCACATTTTGTCCAGGAAAATTATATCTACAGACAAGCGAGGATGGAGAAGCACAAAGAAAACGCTGGCATGAAACCCAATGAGAAAAATGATGTGATTAAATCACTCCAAAAAATGTCAACAGATCCTCGTTATATAAATACCATACACGAGATTGGTTGTATGAAATTCCACGTTCTATATTGCACCCAGGAACAGTTACACGTTTTCAACGAATACTGTCGAGTATTAGGAACATCATCAGCAATCTCGATTGATGCTTCAGGCCGGTTTGCACAAGCATTTGAAATTTGTCCAGGAAGAATGACTGGTCATATCTTTTTATACACGGTCACAATCAGATTTGAGGGCAAAACTATCTGCGTACATCAAATGCTGACAGAAATCCATACCCAAGAATTTATCGAATTATGGCTTAAATACTGGGTCCGGCTCGGAGCTAAAACTCCAGGTGAATCATGGTCTGATTATGAACGTGGAATACCAATGTCTTCCTGTTTGACATTTAATGGAAAGAGTTTAAAAGATTATATAGATGACGTTTTCGAGTGGGCAAGAACGACAGACAAGAAAAAATCTCGACCAGACAATACTCTCATCCGAATAGATGTGGCTCATCTCATGGCTCTGGTGGCAAGGTGGAAATGCTTGAAACACAAAGATCACCCATATATTAAGAACTTTTTCGTTCGTTGTGTTGCTTTAATGGTGGATACTCAGAGCATAGAAGAATTCCAACAAATTTTTCTTCTCACTTGTATCGTCGCATTACAGCCGTATGAAGACAATTTTGTTCCAACGTCAACTATTAATATGACGGTTTCAGATGCCAGAAAAGAGCTGGAGGGTCATATGAGTGTTAGGAAAAGCGTCATCTGTGATATTGAGGCTTCAATGACATCGTATCTAGAAGAGAAAGGTAATACGTCCAAACCGTTTGAAGAAGGCAAAAATGGTACACGCACCCATCAATGGATCAAAAAATTAATAGCGTCGGTTACACCTTCTGACATGTCAGGAAATTCTGTAAACGCTTTTTACTTACTTTGTCAAGGAGTTAACACGTATCGCGAAGGAGTTTCCACTGTGGACTGCTGCAGCAATTCCAGTTGCTGGAAAACATGCTTCAACAGCTCATCAAGAAGGGTATTTCGCTATCTTGCGGGAAAGAGTTTTTGAACACATTCGTTTACCATGTCCAGGGAATCGATTTGTGCTCGAACACCTCCACAGTCTGAAAAGTGGCAGCAATTTGCTTGCTGCCAAGTTGAAACATTTCAACCATCAGCGAGAGGTCTTGTCCACTCCCACTCTGAAGGATGAAACTGTTGAAGAAAATGAAAATAGTCATCCAAAATCTCCACCAAAAAGAAATCACTTGATTGATGATACTGATTTATTCTCTTACGAAAAATGGAGAGGACTTAAGAACAAACAACTTTTTATTGTCAAGAGTGAAAGTTCTGAATCAATAATGAAAGATAATCTTGACGCTAAGAAAAACGAATCTTCGATTCATAACACTGCAACAATTCTTTCTGAAATTCTGAATTATGAAACACAGATCAACAATCTCGCTGATGATTCTACTAAAAATAATAAAGATCAAAATTTGAAATTTATAAATGACAACTTAATGGTAAGTGAAAAAGCTGACTATGAAGTGGTGGGAGATGAAATGTTGAATAATGAAGGAAATGATTTTGACATTCCTCTCAATTATCTAGAGAAGAACCCAAAAATCAACTCACATATACCATACACCCCAAAGAGAGACTCATCTAATTTTTTTTGCACCTCTCAAGTACACACAAGCACACCACTTTTAGATCATTCATATGCTAAACTAATATCAAGTTCTGCGGCTATATTATTGGAAGATATTGGAAGTTTAAACGAAGAACGTGATTCACCAACCAATGGAGAAGGTCAGAGAAATCCGAAGACTGAAGAAAATTTCGATATACAATCAAAAAATCCCACATTGAATGCAGAAGCAGTTACTAATACGTTCATTGCAGAAAAAAGAAGACTGAAACCCGAGAATCAGAAAAAAGGGAACAATGACCAGAATTTAATCGCCCCGCATCCCAAAAATGATATTTTGTGTAATGAGGAAATTGTGGAGAAGAACGTGGGAAAAGTCAAGAATAGCGGAAAACATGAAATAGAAGGCAAAATGATTTCAAAGGGTTTTTATTTTCGACCCTACCCTGAAATCAAATTACTGAATGAGAGGAAAACGTCACGGAAAAAAGGATTTTTGTTACTTAATGGCAATCTCTGCAGTTTAATACAAATTAAGAATGCCCAATATCCATGGAATTTTAATAATGAAAAATTTAAAAATATGCCAACCCAACGCAATGGAATTAAAGTTTACGTAAAAAACACCTGTGAGTTAGATACAATTGTTCACATCGTACAGTTTTCTGCCCTGGATAACCCAACGTATCATTCATACATAGAAAATTCAGCCAACGCTACATTGCAATTAATCTTCAATTTCATGAAAACAGGACTCACTCGTCAAATTTTATTAGATCGCTTGAAAATTTTAAATCAATTTTATACCATTGAAAAAGATCCGGACTCCACAAATCTTTCTCCGTATTTTCTTGACGCAGAGACTTTTATAACACGTTCATGGAGCAATTTTCTTGACAGTGAGCCCAGTGGATATGAAACCTATCAGTGCACCAATAAAGATTGCATCGGAAAAGAAATTCAAAAAATACCATTTCTCTCTATCAATGAGAATGTAATAAGACAAAATGGATATCAAGCTTTGCAAGATGTATTGCTGTATCATCCTCAAATTTTTAATATAAAGTGTCTGCAGCCAGGATGCACGGGAACTCTTACAAAGAAAACTGATTTGAACATTCACATCTGCATCGAATTGGATGTGAGAGACTGCGCTGCGAGAGGGAGAAGCATCGCATGTTCTCTGCATGACTTTCCCATTTCTCTCAATTTAGAACGAAAATATCGGTAAGTAGTGAATTCTTTTCACGAACGTAAATACCCGAATTTCATTCATTGTTTAAATACTCATTAGCTCAATTTTTGCTTTCAGACTTGCTGGTGTCATTCATTATATTTCCAGGCACTTTATTGCCTACTGTCTGCGAGCTTCAGGCTCTTGGATATGTTGCGATGATTTGAAGGGGAGAATTGATGGAGTTAAGCCCAAGACTATTGTAAATCCGCATGCAGTAATTTATGTGCTCGAATGAAAATATTTTCAAATGAACATATAGGTGAGTCATGGCGACAATTATCATTAGAAGTATTGGTAACATTATCAGAAACAGCGCCAGCAATGGTGAGAAAAGTCGGTGCTAAATATATTAGTGAATTAGTTCAAATTAAAAAAGTCTAGTATTAAGTTTCAAGAAATCTGAGATTAAACTTATTGTTAGAAAAAAATATATGTAAAATTTAATTTCTAAAGGAACTAATAAAATTAAGATGCGTAAAATTAAGATCATTTATATTATACATATACATATATCAAATAATAAATATTATTAGTAATAAATTCATAATAAATAAATAAATTTAAATTAATAAACAATAACAACTTATTTACGAAGTGAGTTATTATTTATTAATTTAAATTTAATTAGTTATTATAAATTTTGTACATACACAAAGACTCCAGATATAATTTTAATTTAAATATTTTGCTTAAATGTAGAGACTGTTCTGTGACACACACTTGACAAACTTATTTACAAATTCTTTACACAATTCTTACAATTCTTTTTTTTTCTTTAACACAAGAAAGAAAGAAAGCTAGGAAAAAGTGTGGCTTTGTATATATCTCATGTTTCTATATCGTGCAGCTTGTGTGCATGAATTGATTGCATCTATGCTTTTACAGAACATATGAAAAGAAGAAGAAATAATTAGAAAGATTGAAGGATCAGTTGACGAAGCTGGAGGTCCAGGCGACCGACCGAGAAGAGAACAAAGAGATCGCACTGAGTACCTCCAAGTTGAACTATCTCGATCCTAGAATTTCTGTTGCATGGTAAATAAATTGTGTATTTTTATCTAATTTCTTATAAGTTGTGACGTGACAAGTCGCGTCTCCTTCCCGGACGGGCTCGGCCGAGGGGAATTCGGGGATGCCTTCTCGTTAGAGCGAGAGGAGGGCGGTTGCGTATATTGATTGGTCTAATTAGATGTTAAGTTTTTAAGGGATTGCCGGTGGTGACCGGACTCCATCTGTAACGGCCGGGGGCCGCAACGAGGAAGGGCAGAGGATTAAGGAGACGGCCAGGGGACATGGCTGGAAATCGGATCGCTCGGACCTCCCCGCAATTGCATGAGCGTCGCCGGCCGGAATTCACCCCGCACTCGGTCGTAACAGCGGCAGCATAACGATCAGGAAAACCCCGGATCACCCCCGAGCGGCCCAGGGAAAGGCGCAGCCCTGGGGCCGTCACCCCGAGGGGGATGCCGGCAGACGGGGCCGAGGCCCGGCCAGCCTGACCCCGAACGCCGACTCGATCATCGCGGCCCGGACAGCCGGTTGAATCGAAAAGCCCGCGCCGAATCGGAGGTAATTGCAGCGGCGCCGCCGGAAGGTGAGGCGCGCGAGAAGCTGAGGCGCCGACGAGAGCGCCCTGGAATTGGAGTGGCGCCCCCGGAAGGAGCGGCGCACGTGCGGCCTAGGCGCAGGAAGCGCTAGAATCGGCAATCCGGTCGAGCGACACGCTACAGCGCAGGCGCGGGGAACCGGCGCGATCCCGGCAGGCTATCGTTCCGACACTGTCGTGCCGGCTAACGAACAGGGAGCATCTCCCGGAAGAAGAGCTGCCCGGACTACCGAAGGGACGACAATTTGTAAGGTCACCACTCTGGCGTCCCCGCGTTAAGAGAAGAGGGTTCGCTCGAGGCATCGGCCCATGGCACACGTTGGTTACCGGAGTGCCGCAGGATACCTGTGGACAGAGTCAGAGCGTGCGATACCTTGCGCTCGCATTAAAGTAGAGTCGTGTGGAAATCGTGCCACGGCCTTGCCGAGAGTGAGCTCTCTAATGCGTAGAGACCATTTGTGCCCTCCCCGCGAGCACCGCCACGGCCGACAGTCGCGAGGCGTTGAGATGTGTGAATCGAAGTAATCGTGTCGCGTTTATGTAGCGTTTCGTCGAATTAATGTAAGTAATCGTATCGCGTTATTCGTAATCGTATCGCGTTTTATTGTGATAGAGTTTATGTTCGTAATCGTGTCGCGTTTTGGCCATATTATTTAAGTTCGTAATCGTGTCGCGTCTTGGCTATATTAGTGAGAGTGATGCCTTGCGTAGCGATAACGGGAGCGAGTTGTGCGGGGAACGGCGAGCCGCGAGTGGTCATGTAAATTGAAGGGCACCCGCTCTCGTATTTGAGTAACGTATCCGGGCCCTCGAGGACAGCGAATATTGTGTTTGGCGGGACGAAGAGATCGACGGGATCGGTGCGGGGCCGCGGAATCTCCGTGCTTGCGAGAGAATTTGGGATTCGCGTGGCAGGCCGCGGGATCGTCCGCGATACAAGTCCGTATTTCGTGTTCGGGGGCAATCCGGCAGTCCGGCCAGCGTGGTCGACTCGGCGAGATCGCCCATAATTTTTGCGTCGTGCGGAATCGAGGGCGCCCGGGTGATCATTGAGGGAGCAACCGAAGGTGCGGCGAGTCGGTGCGTCGGCCTCGTGGCGTAAGTTCGTTGTGAGTTTGAAGCCAGGTACCGCGATACCTGAGTCGGAATCGTAATTGTTTCGTATGTCAAGCTTCGTGTGTTCGTCTGCGTTTATATGTTGCGTTACAGTGTGAAAGATTCGACATTACCGCGTGCACTTATTGCGTTATTGCGGCATTTGTGCGTCAGCCTATCCGACATTTTTGCGGTAATACGAGAAACTCAGACCGATTATATTGATATTATCTGACCAAATATATTCTGTTATTATTATTTATTTTCTGGTGAGTGTGATTAATTGTGTGACGCCTCTCTCCGAATCCCCTGAAAGAGCCCTACGCCCTGAGGTATTGCCGGGAATATCGCGTCAGACATATTAGTGTACGGTGGTGCGATCCGTCGCACCTGGCGCCCAATCTTTTGGTGTCGGAATTAGTTGTGCGTGCTGCCAATCCTCGATAGCCCTCCACCGGATTGCGAGACCGGGGGAAAAAGCGTCGCAAATTTTAATATTAATTTTATTATTTTACATTCTTTAGTTTTACCTTTTTATTTCAGATTTACACAATTTATCTTTCTTATATATTTTATATTTTAATTAAATCTTTTTTCATATCTGTGCTTTTTGTTAATACCGAGACTATACTATATTAAATACTTTTTCTTAATTTAAATATTAATACTTCATGCATTATTTCTATCTTCCATGTCTGTATTCAATTTCTATGCTTCATCAGGTGTAAGAAGCACAATATCCTAGTCGAGAAGATTTACAACAAGACTCAGAGGGATAAATTCCGATGAGCAATAGACATGACGGGTCCTGATTACGTGTTTTAACCCTGTGGGTCATCGTTATCATCGTCACCGTCAACGCGTATCGGCCCACGAGTGGAGTACATCTCCCGCTGACGATGTATCTAGTGAATTTTACGTTTTAACGAGAAGCCAGGAGACTTAAAGTAAGACAAAAAAGGAATGATGAAAAAAAGAAAAAAAAGAACAGTGTAAACTGTACGAAAAAATTTTTTTACACTTACGTGGTATAAATGTGAGAGTGTGGGAACATATTTTCTATAGGATGATAATACAACTTATATTTAAAGAGGTGTTAACTTAAATACCGTACGCGGATTCGAGCTTGTCTCGGGTCAATCGTACGTGCGTATTTTACTACCGACAACATGCTATCCACATCGCTAGCGCTCGTTCGTCTCTACATGCCAGTTCGTGCAAGGCACTCTGACGTGATAATCCATAAGGATGATGATCAAGAGAAAGAACCTCGCGAATTGCGGGTAGCTTTTAAACGAGAATGGGAGGTTTATGAGTTTTATTTTGTTTAGTTAGAAATTTATTCTGACCGAAGTAGGAAATTAGCAAACAAATTTGTTCAGGCAAAAAAAGAAAGATTGTTTAAATTTGTTAACGGGCGTGCACGGAGTGCGGCGATTAATCTCGCGAGGAGCACGAGATCGTAGTGAGTGTTTCACGCCGACTTCGGCATGCGAGAAGCTAATAACTGAGCTATTGTATATATGTACGAGATGCAAATACAGTTTATGCTATGTCGATATTTAAAAAAGAAAGAAGCAAGAAGGAAATGGGAAAGGAAGGAAAGGAAACCAATTCTTGGAGCAGGCGGCTGAAAAATTTTGTATTTCCCATTAACGAGCATAACACGAGCGTAAAACATACTTGTTTCTTTCATAAATGTATGATAATGTCATTCATCGAATATCACGTTTACATTTTGCAGCATCGTGTCGAAGACATTTATATACAATTTTAGAGTAGAAACTCTTGTCCCACTTGTAAAAATTACAAAATCAGGCGTCGGATTTACGGAGATCAGGAGAATCTGCGGGACAGACGCGACCTGCGAAATTCCGTGTTCGATTAAGAAAAAAAAATGTTAGACGCAGACTTACGTGATCTACGTAATTGTATTTTATTGTGTGACGGCGTGTGTCTCGGAAGGAGAGTAAAAATATCGTCTGTAATTCGCGCTAAAACTAATTTTTAATTTTTACCCTCGCCTCTTTCATTCGGATTCGTCTCGCGCTGTTGCGAAATAAACAAACCGGCTTCAATCGTCGCGATTATTTTGTAAAAAAAAAAAGAAAGAAAATCATCGTTATTGTTTCGTTGAGCTTGTACATACGACAAGGCGCCGCTTGTTCTCGATCAGTCGAGGATACGTATTTAAGCGTTCAACGCTTAGGGAACGAGGAACAAGGAAACGCGAGTCGCGCTCTGTTGACTATTTATCGGTCGGAACGCGACGAACCTATGTTAGCATCA